CTTCCTTCCTTCCTTCCTTCCTTCCTTCCTTCCTTCCTTCCTTCCTTTAAAGGAGGGTATCAGAGTATAATGGAAATAACATGTGATTATCTGTGGAGATCAGCATTCAGGTTCGAAATTAACTATTAACTTGTTATGCAACATTCATTTTTTTCTTCTTGGGCTTCAGCTTCCTCAGCTTTAAATTGAGTAGTTAGAATAAATGAGCAGTCGATCAACAAGCATTTATTCCTTAACTACTATATGCCATGAATCATGAATTATGCAAGGTGCTGGAGATTTAAAAAAAAACAATAAATTTAATAATCCTTGTTTACACAAAATTATATTTTAAGGAGTTTATGTTTTCTAAAGTTCCTTCTAGCTCTAACAAATTATGTTCTAATACTCTCTATTTCAATCTGTTTAATTGCAATAATCAATCTTAATCTCAGAGACAAGATAATGAAACTTATCTCTTTACTCTTGCCAGAGAAGTGGGCATATAGAGCGGCAGAATGTGGCATACTTTTTCAGATATAGTTACTGTGTGAGCTATTTTTCCTTAAGTAGATTTTTCTTTTCTTTTTTACAAGGGAAGTTTCAATTCCATGGCTATGGAGGAGACTCAGAGGAAGCTATATAAAAGGACTGTGATATAGAGAATAAAGAGCCAGAATACCAGATAAAAGGTAGATAAAATATATAAATTAGATATAATCAGTCAGCCAATAAACATAATCAACCAGTCAAAAAACATTTATTAAGTGCCAGAAAGCAGTGGGGTTACAAAAAGAGGTGAAAGATAATCCTTGCCCTCAAGGAGCTTATAGTCTAAAGGGGGAGACAACAGACAAAGAATTATATTCAAAACAAGTAATATACAGGAGCTTTCTATTGAAGGAGATGGCATGAACATATACAGGTATATATAAAATTGGTAAAAAATGATTTGGTAGGGAGGACACTAGAAATCAGGGGAATCAGGAAAGACAGCACCTGAGAAGATTTTTGAAGAAGACTGAGGTTTCTAAGGAGTAAGGCTGAAGAGGGAATTCATTCCAGGCATGGGACACAATTGCAAAGGCTTGGAGACAGCCAATGGAATCTTTCCATGAGTAGCCATGAGGAGGGCAGTTTGACTAGATGGTAGAATGCAGGAAGGTGGATAATACATAATAAGGCTGCAAAAAAAAAAAAAACAAAAAAACAAAAAACTAAGTCATGATAGGTTATTGAGGAGAATGACAAAGTCAGGTCTATGCTTTAAGAAAATGACTTTTACATACACATATTCCAAAGGCCCTTCAGTACTTTCTTTACTAAAGCATCTAAGGTGCCATTAGACACTAACATTTCATGATTCAAAGTATTTAGGAGAACAACATGGAGCAGAGGAATAAGCATTAAATTTGTAGTCTTAAGACCCTGGGTTCAAATGCCAGTCTTGCCATTTCCTATCTCTATGATCTTGAGTAGATCAATTAAATTCCCAAGGCCACAGTTTCCTTTCCTGTATAATGAGGGGATTGTTCCAGAGAACCTCTGAAGTCTCTTCTAGCTTGCAATCTATGATTCTGTGATGCTCTGACCTGATGCACTTTTTGACCTCTGCAGTATAAAATTCTGCATGGAGAGAAGAATGTCATGCACAATCTCTGTGTATTTGTTTCTTTAAGCATCATTTCTTATCCTCAGGGATATAATGTAGAGGCATGTCTCTGTTGCTGCCAAGGATCTAAGAAGGAGTATATTGTTTTAATTTCAATAAAGCTATAATAAGATGCTAGGAAATGATAGACAATTGTCCATGCACTTATTTTACTTCCTGTGTACATGTTGTTCTCAGAAATTGATTGTCTCTCTTATCCTTCAAATATATTAGTAAAATTGTCATTAAAATAATCTTTGAAGAAACATGTCAGTTTCATCATAAAAGAAAAAACATACTGCAAGAAAAATTCTTTAATCAGCATACTCTTATCTGATGGCCCCAAATGGCATACATGTTTAGTATTCCCTCATCACTGGTGTGCCAATGGACATGTCTTTGCACTGTAAGCATGTAATTAGGGAGCCAGTTTGGAAATCTGGCATACACTATGAAACTGGCACATTTTCTATTTTGTGCTGTGCTCATCAAAAGGCAGGGGGGAAAAAGCGTCCCCTTTTGTTATGGCATTTTTGCATAGTAATCTGACAAAGTTTAAATAAAGCTAGCTGCAGCATGTTTCTGTGGGCTGACTTCAGCCCACACGACCAACAGCACTCAAGCTTACAATAAGGAGAGCCTGCAAATGGAGAGAGAAATGCTTGACAAGGCTTGCTAGAGGTGGTGGGATATAAGAAGGGGCAGGTTGTTGTTGATATTGTTATCATTGATTTGGGGAGGAAGTTTAAAAAAAAAGCAAAAATAAATAATGATGAAAGGTTTAAAGGAGAGTGTTTAAATTCGGTTTAGTTCCTGTAAGACCCATGTTCTATAATCTAAAACATCAGCAGAAACCAAAGTACATACTGACATATGAGTAAAGTACGTAACAAAGATTGGCCCACTGAAGATCTTTTCCCCCTTCCATAGTATACAATAGCTAACTAGTAGTCAAAAACTCTAAAAATTCTGTTCTCTCTGCATCTTCTATTCATAGCATTAAAGATTTTAGAGCTATAGGGAACCTTCAAGAGAGCCTGTTGTCTGAATCACTTAAGGATATTCAAACTTTTCTCCTTTCAAAGCCCATGCCAATTATTGGTAATATGAGAACCTGTCACCCTCTCCAGTTACCTGAGAGTGAGGAATGGTTGTTCTGGATTCCATCATGGCACGGGGTATCATTATCAGAGATAATGTCTAGACAGGCAATTGTCCTTAGTGTAACCTACAGCTGCCTTTGGATTTTCTCCAAGTTTCTCTTGGGCGGATTTTTTTTTGTCCAAATTTGTGATTTCCTCAATGTAGGGAACTCCCAGTATGGAAACCCTCTCTACCAATGAAATTTAGTAACTCATTTGTAACTTACAATCCTGAAAAGTGACCTAGGATATTAAGAGTTTAAGGGACTGTATATTAGTATGGGTCAAAGGGAACACTAATCTAAATCTTCCTGATTTAAAAATAGTCTCCTATTCACTAAAATCATACTTCCTACCCCTTGTATCTTTAGCTTGGAAATTATAATGGAGATAAAATGAGGAAATCATTTATGTCTTTTGGACCTATATCCTTAAGAAACAGAAGCCTATCCTGATTCAGGCTTTCATATTTTAGCACAGAAAATCAATGGGTCAAATCTAAATTTTAAGTTTCTTAGAACTAACATTTTAATATATCCTTTCCTCTGGAGAAATTCTTAAAAACATCTTTTTTTTTTTAGTTTTCTGTAAATTTTTTTTTCCTAAACAACCACCAATAAACACAAAATAAAAATAAACTCTAAATCAGTTCTTTTAGATGAATGTAATTTTACCAAGATAATCAGAATTTTCATTTCCTAGGCTAATTTTTTTAATACAATGATCTCTCCAAATTTTCTTTCTTTGATGATTTGTCAGTGACCCAAATTCAGCTTTATTTAAAGATTGGGTTTCTAGGTTTAAGAGGAAAAGATAAACTGTGCTCTAGGAAGAACATGGATACATGGTACCTGAGGACTGACTTCAAATCCTGACTATGTTATTGGCTAGCCATGTGACTTTGGGCAAGTCATTTAACATCTGTGGATTCAGCACCACCTCTGTAAAATGAAAAGATTGGACCAGAAATTCTCTGAGGTGTCTAATAGCTCTCAATATAGGATCCTAAGCAGAATGGGTGAAACATTTACAAAAATGGCCTTAGTTCATTCATTTTCTCCTAGTGTTATCTAATAAAATTTAACCATTAAAAATATTGAAAAAATGTGACTTACTCTCCTTACAC